GTTTGAAACAGAATATTGTGTCAAAATTCGAAAACGTTGATATTCCGAAAAGTGAGGAGGAGTGTTTGAGAAAACGGAGCAATCTTATAGGCTGCTTTAAACGGTCAGAGGTAGGTTGATATTTGCCCTCTTCCGTAGAATACAATTTTCTGATCTAACACGTCTAAACATATGAAAAAAAATCAGTTTTACTCACCGTGTTGGTGTTTTCCTCGCCTCGGTGCCGCCACCCCGAGTCACGCATTGCCGCCACCCCAAATGTACCGTTCTAATCGGTGGAACTGTTAGGTTTATTTTCGGGATTGAGAAATTGTCTATGAAAAGAATTAATTCCGCGATCTTTTTGTAACACTTGTATTTGAGATGTATTACTTGGTAAATAAAAGAAAATTAAATACAATGCCGAATTTATGCTTAAACGAATTTTATCAGAAGCACATTTCCAGAACAAATTCACAAACGCCAAGAGCTACGTTTTGACGTCGTCAGTGTTGCGCCGACAACTGATTTGTAAGATTCGTTTACCTGAGAGGAAATTGTTATTTATAGAGATATTTCACTGAAATTTTTATGCATTATTCAAAAAATGTTGGTCATGATGTATGCTAATTTTCAACTTTATAGTATTAGTGAAACAAAAGATAATGAAAATGTACGTGTATTTCTGGGACAACCTTCGTATAGACGACACACACTATAGTCGATAAAATCCATATTTAGAATGTCAAGGTTTCGTGATTACGTACCTTCACACGGAACTCAAAACCTTGACATCGTGGAAATGATAAAATCAGAATAAAACATTTTCATGTGATGTTTAGCCTTGCACAATACCAATTGGCAACCTCAGCAGATTCCGAACCTCCGATGCAGGTGACACGTTGATACTGTAACCAACTTAACACAAGATTTTGACCATTCTGTGGGCAAATGACCCCGTAACATACGGTAAAATTTGAAAATCGGTTATTTTCAAATTTACATTATATCCGCACTTTAATGTTACCCGTGACAACATCTTCAGAGGGGGACAATATACCCTCCGTAACTGAGGTCTGTACTGATATGTGGTCTTATCGATAAGATATCGAAATTTACTACGACAGCCATTACTAAACTGCATGGGTAGTACACTCTAGCATTGTAGCAATTTTCTAAAGAAGCAATTTTAAACTTATGTTACGTCAATGAAACAACATATTTCACGGAACATAACACGGGAAACACTGCAGTAGAAAACATTGGTTATCAAAGATCAATCTCAGCTAGACGAATATTATTTAGAAGAAAGGCAAAGCCACATCAAATGAATATTCTGGTAGCATTTCCATTTCTAATTGTTTTCTCTGTGATAACTCTTTGAAAGTTAGGTGAGTTGATTTCTTGATACTTACATTTCCAAATATTTTCCTTAAGATTCTTTGCAAAGTGGAAAAAGTTCACGTTCTCATGCACTGCAGTGAGATGAGTAAGAATATTTCCACTATGACAAAACTAATGTCAAAAAATAGTGCAAACTTTTTTTCAAACATGATAGCTGAATGACAAAAATATGTGGCAAGTAATCAGAAAAATAATGTAAATATAAGATATGAATTTAATTTTTGAGAATTCATTAGGTACATGAACTACAACGCTTCACGCCTGCATATTTGAAATATGCCGGCGTGAAGCGTCGTTGTTCAATTCTCAAAAATTAAATTCATTTCTTAAATATAAGGAATCACTGTCTAGTTTGTTGGGTATGCCAGGGACATCAACGATAGTTGGAAACGTGGGATAATTTATGCATTAAGGGCTTTGCCCGTTATACAATTAAATTACCCCACGTTTCCAACTATCGTTGATGCTCTGGCATACCAGAGACATCAACGATAGTTGGAAACGTGGGATAATTTATGCATTACGGGCTTCGCCCGTTATGCAATTAAAATATCCCACGTTTCCAACTATCGTTGATGCCCTGGCATACCCAACAAACTAGCCAGTGATTTATGCAAATTATCCCACGTTTCCAACTATCGTTGATGCCCAGGCATACCCAGCAAACTAGACAGTGATTCCTTAAATATTCATCCGTGGATGAATACATAATACATTCAGGTTTGGTCACATTACTGCTTAAATTTTAAAAATGAATGGACTTCCTCTAAAACCTTTAACTAGCTGGTTAATCATGTGAACAAAATGTAGTTCATATGCAGCATCCGAAGCATGTTGGTAGCGTGCATCCTTAGCTGCATCAACCGCGTTTGAGTTTGGTCACATAGAGCTAAAAGAAATTTGGAATGGACTTGCTCCAAAAAATTTTACCTAGGTCACTCATCCAGAATCGAAAAATGTATATAAATCCAGCTTTTAAATCATTTCTGGTAATGTGTGCATCTCTAGACGCATTCTCCATGCAAGTTTGGTCACCATAAGGATTAATACCTATTGGGAATGTACTTGATCCAAAAACTTTATATCAGAATTATAGAAAATGTAGGTCAGATATACATCCAAATCAAGCTTCAAGTCAGGTGATTTTCTGGATGAATCATCAATCCAAGTTTGATTATCAGAGGGCTTATAGTTACTTAGGAATAGACCTGCTCTAAAACCTTAAACCTAGTCACTCATCCGAAATATGTAGGTCACATCCAGTTTCCGAGGATTGTAAGCGTCATCCAAACAATTTTCTTTACCATATGGCTTATAGTTACTTGGGAATGACTTGCTCAAAAAACTTTAACCTGGTCACACATCCGAAAATGTAGGTCAGATTCAAAGCAAGTTTGGTATTGCACATTCCTATATTCATCATGCATGCAGGTTTGGTTCAGGTAGGGCTTATAGTTACTTGGGAATAAAATTGCTCCAAAAACGGGACACAGGGCGCCGATGCCAACACTGGGGGTATAGAATAAGTTCATCTCGACTTCGTCAAGATGAGCTAAAAAGTGCTTCATTCCAATAACTAAATAGAATTCTGTTTTAAACAAGATGTATTTGTGATACACTGATGCCCCCGTAAAACAGCCCATGGCAAAGGTTACAGTTTCTTAAATGCAAGTCAAACTCCAAGGTCAGAGCCAAAAGATGAAAAATATTGGTATCCAATGAAAGGTCTTGTCACAAGGAATATATCTGTAAAATATGAAAGCCCTTGCAGCAACCATTCAGAAATAATGATCAAGGATAAAGTTTTCGAAAGTAGGTCAAACTAAAAGGTTTACGTCATGAGGTACATAAATATTTGTAAAGACAAGAAATACTCCTGTCAAATATGACAGCATAGCACCAACCGTTCAAAATTTAGTTTTTCAAAAGTAGATTAAGCTCTAAGTTCAAGGTTAAAAGGTCAAAATTATTTGAACACAAGGAAAGGTCTTGTTACAAGAAATAAATATGTGAAATATGAAAGCCCTAGCTCCAACCATTTCATTTTATGGCCAAAGTTAAAGGTTTTCAAAGTAGGTCAAACTCAAAGTAAGGGTCATAAATATTCATACCAAATGGAAGGACTTGTCACAAGGAATATACATGTGAAGTATGAAAGCCCTAATACCAAACGTTCAAAACTTATGGTCAACGTACAAGTTTTTTAAAAGTAGGTCAAACTTCAAATTCAAGGTCAAAGTTTTGGTACCCAAACAAAGTTCTTGTCACAAGGAACACACGTGTGAAATAGGAAATCTCTCTTACCAACCGTTTAAGATTAATGTTTGGTAAAATTTTGCAAAAATGGGTCAAACTATAAGGTCAAGAGGCCAAATATTCTGGTACCAAAAAAGGTCTTGTCACAAGGAAAACACGTGAAATATGAAAGCCATAGCTCTTACCAATAAAAAGTTATGGCTAGGGTTTAAGTTTAAGCAGACAGAGAGACATGCAGACGGACGGACAGAGCCAAAACTAAATGCCCCAAATCTTCGATTATGAGCGCATAAAATATATTTTTGGAGTACAATAGTAACTGAGGTTCAGCAAGCAGGTTAGTAAAAGGAATCTTAAAGAAGACGTAGCAAATAGACAAATATGGCATTAGACCATGGCATGAATAAACAGTAAGTTAAAACAAGTAATGAATGCATATACAGTCTGAAAAGGATTGGAGAAACACAATGATAATATAATACGTTAGCAATGGACATTTGAAATAAGTTGTGTTTCAAAAAAAATCACTGAATTTCCTTTTTCAGCTGCATCTCCATATTTTACGAATCTTCCACAAACGGTACAGATCTACGACACGGCCCCTCCTGGAACGTCCCTCTATACCGTAAGCTACAGTGATGACAACGCTGGGGACATTCCATATCTTACTATACAAGAAAGCGGCTCCTCTGGGTTTAAATTAGATATAGCCACAGGCAAGAAAGATATCTAATTTGCAAAAAAAAAAAAAAAATCTTTTAACCTTGTGTAAAGCAAAACGTTACGAAATGAGAGAGAGAGAGAGATAAATAAGAAATTAAGTGATTTATTACTGGTATTTGATTGACTGATTCCTAGCTCTCTGATTGGCTGAAACCCAAGATTCTTAAAATACTAGTAGTAAAAAGTTATGTTCACGTGCTCCCGATCCTTAAGATGAACCTAACATTTGATTTTTTTCTACATAGGATTAAAAATAGATCTGGAACTTAAATTGATACTATTCATATTGATTATGTTTATTATTGTCGTCCAATGAAATCCTGCGTCTCATAGTCTCATTATTGCATTCGGTTAAGACGTCAGAACACGTGCACACCCAATTTGTATCATAAAAGACATGATCATTGAATCACATAATAGAACAATCATTGATGTTTTTGGTCAATACGATGATTTAGCATCCTCGAAGTACAATATTTACCTCACCCTTCGGGCTTTCTGAATACTGAATTCATTGGGTATTTTAATCATCTGAGTGACCTCAAAATAGCAATAATTGTATATTTTTTTTGGTAATGTGGTTTTAAATGCTAGTAAAATGAGAAGAGAAATGTCAGAGAACACTCTTTTTTCAGGCATTATAAGTACTGATAGCTATCTAAGCACTGGGACATTTACCATGACAGTGCGAGTGACTGATCCATGTGGCAGGAACAATCATCAGACGCTAACGATACAGGTCCTCAACATGGTAATAAAAACCTGATGGTTTTGTCCTTAGAAATAATGGTGTTAGAAAACGAGACACTGCTATATATAAAATTCTAAACCTTTTTTCATGGTGTTTTCCATTCCCAATGTGGTTTATTTTAGCCCCCTGAAATCCTCAACCTTCCTTCATCTGTGGACATTTCTGAATCCTCTGAACATGAATCTCTTCTTTATAATCTGACATTACGAGACCAATCAGGAAACGATACAGTCTGGTGTTCCCTAAACTACACGTCTCCAGCTGGGGCACCTTTTATCGTAAAATACATATCTGGAACCTCTGGTGGGTTGATGCTTTACCATTCATACACTTAACTAAGCTGTCATCATTTTACATGTGTATTATACGATTTAAGGTCTTTTCCTCTTTGTTTTCTTAGATTTTGGTGTCTTTAACCTTGCCTCCCCAAACTTTGACTACGACAACACCTCTGTTTATCAGGTGGTTGTAGAGTGTACAGATTCCAAAGATTCCATTTCAGAATCATTATTTGTTTACCTGACTAAAAATGCAGAACCCGTGGTTCATAATTTACCAAGTAAGTTTGAAACACATGCACACTGTTAGAAAACTTGCGATGATATATGTTATATAGGTATACTGGTAAGCACATTTGTCTGTTTTTTGATAAGTATCTGCCTCAATACAGCTGTACATCTGCTATAAGTCTTCGAGACAAGAAAATTGTGCTTATACACTACCGATTATTGTGCCTAATATCCCGGTATTTAAGGACTGGTTTAATTATGGTACCAATGTTTTGCCCCATTGTCCCATACATCTCCTCTTGTGCCGTTTCTTTCTGTCTACAGATGTAATCACCATCCCCAGCACAACAACAGTTGGGACGATTGTGTTCACTGTCAACAGTACAGACATGGAGAACGACCAGTTGGGATACTCCCTTAACTACTGCACAGCTTGTCCTTTCACCATCAGTCTCTGTATGTTTTGAAGAATATCAGTATTTTGAGGACTTTGTAGGCGATAGCAAACATTAATTAAACATATTGTAAGTTGAGAACTTTTGCAAGTGAGGATTAGGTCAATACTGCACCCAGTGCAGCCATTACTTGTTATAATCATGATTATATTGTTTTCAATTGTACATGCCTCTTGAGGGTCCTTGATTGGTGAATAAACATATTCATTTTATACGACCTCGTACATGTATATTTTGTCTTTCAGCTGGACACGTAATCCTTCAAACAAGCATCAGAGACGCAGCCAAATTTTCGTACAATTTATACATTGTTGTATCTGATAAGTTTGGATCAGTGGTAGACAAATTGTTAACTATATTGGTCACAGGTAAGATTCATTTAAAACAAATCGTCTAGATATTTCGGGGAGACAACAAAAACTTGCAAACCATACTTTGAAAAATATCTCAAGAAATGATCGGATTCATCACATGATTCATTCTTTTGATTTGACAGGATTTTTTTAAAGCAGTTTTAAAAATTGATATTCAAATTTAATTTAAAATAGGTGTTAACAGTGTGCCTGTTATCAGTAACCTGGACCAGACGATCATTGTACCGGAAACCGTAGCTGTAGGAACCGTGATCTTTACCGCTTTTGTGTCGGATGCAGACGGCGATCCTCTTAGTTACCATTATGAATATAATCCAGTAGAAACTGCATCTAAATTCGCCATGGATGAATCTAGTAAGTTTTATTAAAAATATTATTGTAAAATATTGTACAAGTCACTTTCAAATTGAAATATGAAGTTGATAGAAAGCAAATAAATTTTAACATTAAAAAGAAATAATTATCGTTTTATCATTGTTTATAGCTGGTAAAATATCGGTAATAGAGTCCCTGGACTATGACGCTGGGGTTACCTCGTACAACTTTTCATTTACTGTCAACGATGGAAAATCATCAGCTTCTAAGGCTACGTTAACAATAAACATCCAATCCAAGAACGAACCACCGGTGTTTGCTCTACAAGTGTACCACGTGACTCGTGGCGAGGGAAATGTAAGTTTTCAAAGATTCTTTGAAAAAAAACTAACAACAAAAAGCTTTTTATAAGGTCAGATAATTATCTTTTAAAAATATATTTCAAAACATATTAGTCTTCAAACGTGAACAAACCAGTTTATAAACGTTGAACATATTGCCGTTTGGGTCTGAATCCATGAAAGTGCTAATGCGACATCAATGGACACACCACTGACACCAACTTTAAAGATCAAATAAATCGCCTGCGATGCACCTCCTTCTACCACCAATTTTGCATTATGATGTTCAACAATTGAGCCATTTGAACATAGCTTCATCAATGTCGTGCATGCTTTCCCCCCATTTTTACAGTCGAGCAGCACATTCCCAGACCCAGGATTTGCAGTCAGTGATCCAGACACGGGAGACACATGGAGTTACAGTATAGCCAGTGGTGATGATAACGGTCGTTTCTGGATGAACCCCAGCTCTGGAATTCTACAGTTTATGACGCAGTACATCGTAGACAAACCGGAATTAATGTCACCCTTTGTAACCCTTATAATTGCTGCAGTCGATCAGTTGGGAGCAAGTGGTAATAATTTTTTTCATCAATACAAGCAAAAGTATAATCTTCGAAATTCTGGCAAGGGGCCTAGGAATCAAAAAGTTCATATGTGATAACCTTTTTTTCTTTACTGAGGTGAAATGAAACTGAATCTTTACTACCATTGGATGCTCTCTTCTTAATTCTATCCCACTGTATGTTTTCTTGCGGCTAATCATAGCTTTGACTGCAATGCAAAAGTACGTCTGAATATTCTTGCGTATTAATAAGTTCCCCTACTAAAAAAAATTAAATATATATATATTTTTAGAATACATTCCTATAAGTTCTGACCAATTACTGCTTCCAGAGCTGCCTTGATTTTAACACATTTCAGATGATTTTTCCTATAGTAGTATATACCCGTATTTAGGTTAAGCTTAGTACCTTTGTTGTGGTCCTCTCCTATCCTTTATCCATTTTGTATTTGTCATATCATGATATTTAAAAGATAAAAGAAAATCTTGCATCTGACAATGATTTAATGACTTACGGCAATGGTGCGTTTTTATTTACATCCCATTTTTTTTTTTTTTTTTTTTTTTGAAAATTACTATATCGGTTTCACACTTTTTTCATCTAGTTGTTTAATTTTCAGTAGGAAATGTAATAAAATAAAACATGTTTTTTATGCCATACACAGGAACAACGACACTGTCGGTGACAATCACGGACGAAAACAACCAGACACCGTATTTTCCTAACAGCCAGTACCACGTGAGCGTGATATATGACGTTCCTGTGCTATCTTCCATTGCTTACATCACTGCCTTAGACAATGATTACGGACCAATTTACAATCAGATTAGCTACTCCGTCAAACCAGAACTGGATTACCAGTATTTTGATATCAGTGGTAACGCACTGCTTACCACTGCCAAATCCCTGAAGCAATTCGAAAACAGCACCAAGTTATATACCGTCATCAAAGCCACAGACAGAGGTAACAGAGAATCATCCGTGACCGTCACGGTCAACGTCCAGCAAGGAACCAGCAACACTTTCTTTGATGACCCAGACACGGTGGCATGGTTCGCCGCAGTGTTAGTGATCTTGGTCATTTTGCTGGGGGTGGCTGGCATTTGTCTCTATCGCTTCTGTAAATACGGCTATGTCTTCTCAAAGAAACAATGGTGCAGCAAGTAGGTTATGGTGGAATTAAATTAATATCGATGAGGTTTCTACATACGTATTGCGAATGTTGAATTCTTTCATTCTCTTCTTTTTTTATTTTAAGTTGTGGAAAGAAGAAGGTTCATTCTCATAAAGGGGAAAATTATGAAAAAAATGATGATAGAAGTGAGTACAATTAATGATAAGTAATCAAGTTTTCATGCTATGATTTTGATAATGTTTTATTCTCTCTTTTTTTTAAAGTAAAACTAAAAATTAAAAATTTAGATTAAAATCTAGCCTTTTATATTTGTCAATGTCTTTTCTTCAGCATGAATATATCTACTTAACTCATTTTACTTATGCCTAACTAGATCTACTTAACTTGGTTGTTGAGCGTTTTAGTTTGACTTAACTAAAATATTTATGCTTTCCGGATAGGAGAGTCTCGTATAAGTATCGTGGAGTACTCCGACGACTACGGCGGAAGTGACGCATGGATGCCCTCAAAGTTTGACAAGTGGAACCAAATGTAATCTATATTTTTCAAAGTTGCATTATTTGTAATTGGATTAGGCCTATAACTTCGTACTTCAGGTCTTTTTTTAATTTCTAGGGAGAAAACGAGAGCATTACCGGCCAGCATTGATATATGATCTGAACTTACTTTGCGTATGTGACCATTTATTGCATTTAAAAAAAACTGAATCACCTGATTTATTTTTTGTTTTTTACTTTAAGTACAAATACATTGTCAAATATATGTATCGAAGTAAATGAAAGAAATAGGTTTTGTTTGTTTGTATGTTGTTTAACGTCCCACTTGCCGGTGGAAAGCTGCAAATTTTGTCCTATACTCGGCACTTACGGCCATTGAGCAGTGAGGGATCTTTTTCGTGCCAGCACCTACTGCGACACGGGACCTCGGTTTATACGGTCTCATCCGAAGGACCGGTCTCCACGTCCCACAGTGGGATTCGAACCCGCGACGTAAGGATCAACTCCTTACTCAGCGACTCTAGAGCAGACGCTCTAACCACTGCGCCACGCGGGCGACAAAAGAAACAGGTAATTGCCATATTGCTCTGCTTCATAACGTTACTATCTGTGTTTAAATGTTATCATCTGCATTTGCGTTACCTCAAAGTGTTTCTATCTTCTGCATTTGTGCTACAAAGTGCAAGGAAAACTTTGAATTTCGTAGTTAAAATTTTGGACAATCCTACTAAATACTGTAAGTTCACATAAATAATATGGCTTTGGAATGCCTCGTGGGATATAAGTCGTGTGTAAAGAAGCTCTTTATTTTGCGGTCTTTCTCTGTGACTAGATGCTGTCAGTTGACAGAAATGCTGGCAAGAAATTGTTTCTCTAATCGTACTATCCTTTCTACCTGGGTAACTAGAGAAGAAGCCACAATGGTTGTACTATATTGTACTTCAATGAATATGTATGAAACCGAGCATACAATGTTCAGGCGATCATGTGGCCCACGAACGTATGTTAGTATATCAAATAATAACTTCATTACCAGTCTGAAATTAAAGAAGTTCATGAAGCATGAATTCTGTTTCAAAGAGTGTTTTAGAAAAAAGTTTTTGTGTTTAAAAAATGGGGATTTTTTTTAAATTTTTCGATCCCTAATTGGTCCCCAGAATGAAAATAAAAATTTCAAAGACCTTATTGTACATCTGCAGTACACAACCAATCATATTCAAAAAGCTACTGCACAAATTTTAAGAATCCCGGGAACATGTTTTTTTTGTCGGAAAAAGAAAGTCACCCCCAATTGGCCTCCTGGAGAAAATGAAAATTCCGACACCTAACTGCAAATCTACAGGACACCAACAGTCACAGAGTGTATTTCAATACATGAATTGACTACTGTGCAAAATGTAAGAGAAGTGCTTAGACACATAGGATATGGATTTTTGTCAAAGAAAGTCTATTTTGGTCCCTAATAGGTCCGAGGATGAAAGTGTAAATTCGAAAATTTATTGCGTTTACTGGACACCACCAATCATTGTCCGAAAATATGATTAAGCAACTGTTCAAAATGATAGAAAGGAGTGCTAAGAAATAGGTTTTTGTTGGAAAACGTCGTTTTCGACCCTAATTTGCCCCAGGATGAAAATGAAAATTCCGAAACTTTTACAACTTTCGGCTGGGGCTGCACGGCTAGGAGGCGCGTCCCCCGGGTGGCGGATAGGGGATCCCTCACTTAGTGAGGGGTGCACCGGATAGATTGAAGAAGGTGCCGTGGACCAACGCAGCATAAGGGAAGGACACCTTGACAGAAAACCCCCGGAAAAAAAGACAGTTACAGAAACAATGGACATCAAAAAGCAAAGAAGACAGGGTGAAGCGGGGACCGCCAATAGTGGCAGTAGGACGACGAGGGGTGAAAGCCTAAGGGAAGCCCTGCGTCCGACTAGATCCCTTGTGACACCCCAACAAACACTCACCATCGGACACTGGAATGTGCGAACTATCTACAGAGGAGGGGCTTCAGCACAGATTGCGAGAGAAATGGAAGGATACCAGCTGGACATTCTTGGAATCAGTGAATGCAGATGGACAGGAGCTAGGAGGATGAGACTGGCCTCAGGCCAGACCGTCATATACAGAGGGGATGAAGAATTGCATGAGGGAGGAGTTGCTATAATGATCAGCCAGCAGGCAGTAAAATCACTTATGGAATGGACACCCATCAGCAAGAGAATCATAACAGCATGATTCTATACAAAATACAGGAGAGTGTCGGTGATCCAAGCTTATGCGCCACAAAAGGAAGAGGAAGAAAAGGACCAATTCTATCAGGAGCTACATGAGGCTTTGGATGGGTGCAACAAGAATGGCATCATAATTATCATGGAGGACCACAACGCCAAGGTAGGGAGTGATAACAACGGGTACGAAAGAACTATGGGTATCCATGGACTGGGTATACAAAATGAGAATGGAGAAAGACTGAATTTAGTCTGACCAACCGGACTTGTAATCACAGGAACATTGTTCCCCCATAAAGATATCCACAAAGCAACATGGGTGTCTGCTAATGGAATAGCGAAAAACCAGATTGGCCACCTTCTCATTAGTGGGCAGTGGAGATCTTTTCTTGACACCAAAGTCCAGAGGGAAGCGGATGGCAACAGCGACCACCATCTAGTGAAGACACGAATCAGGCTACGCCTCAGTACACACAAGAAAAAGTTGAAACCAAGACTGGATGTAGAGCGCCTCAAAAACAAAGAAATAAAAACCAAGTTGAATGACTGCGCGAGAAAGAAATTAGAAGAACACAAGGAAGAGACTGAAGATATCGAGAAAATGTGTGAGCAGCAGAGAATGGTCTATGTGAATTCAGCAGAGGAAATACCCGGCTTCAGGAAAGGCAGAAGCAAGCCTTGGATCAGTGAAAACACATGAAATGTGATATACGAAAGAAAAGACATCAAGACAAAGATAGACAGTACAAAATCAGAAAGAGTCAAGACTAGACTGAAGGAAACTTACAGGGAGAAAGACAAAGCAGTCAAGAAAAGTGCGAGAGAGGACAAGAGCAGGTAGATGGCAGAGAAAGCTGAGCGAGTACAGAAAGCGGCCGAGAACGGGAGACAGAAGGAACTGTACAGCATCGTAAAGCAGCTGACAAGAAAGGGTAATAGACAAACAGCAGCAGTGAAAAGCAAGGATGGGGGATGTTGAAGAATAAAGAAGTGAGGCTTGCCAGATGGAGGAAACACTTTGAGGAGGTGCTCAATAGGGACACTCCAGAGTCACCACCACAAGATGATCGAGCATGAAGAGGGTGAGGAGCTAGACATTTCAGTTGAGCCACACACTACACAGGAAATAAGGGCTGCACTGAAGATGCTTCGCAATGGGAAGGCCCCTGGAGCAGATCAAATAAAAGCAGAAATGCTAAAGGCAGACCTCGATTAGACCAGTCAGGAACTGAAGCACACCTTTGACCAGAGATGGAAGGAGGAGAAGATGCCTAAAGAATGGACCAAGGGATTGATCTGCAAATTCCCAAGAAAGGCAACTTACAGGACTGCAGCAACTGGAGGGGGTGCCATTGCTGCCCCTCGCCAGCAAAGCACTCAGCAGAATCCTCATCAACAGAATACAGGCCGGAGTTAACCACACCCTTAGGAAAGAACAGGCAGGGTTCCGGAGAGGGAGAGGGACTGTCAATCAGATCTTCATCCTCAAGAACATCCTGGAGGAAGTCAACGAGTGAAATGCTACCCTGTACATCCATTTTGTGGATTTTGAGAAAGCGTTCGATTCGGTGCACAGAAACAGCCTTTGGGTCATCGTGAAGAAATATGGAATACCCAAAAAACTAATTAAAATGGTCAAAGCCCTGTATGACGATTTTCAGTGTTCTGTTATTGACGACAATGAGACCACAGCCCCTTTCCCTGTGATGACCGGCGCCAAACAAGGATGCTGTATGTCAGGTTTCTTGTTCCTACTGGTGATAGACTGGGTGATGCAACAGACAGTCAGAGAAGAGAGAACGGGAATTCGATGGGACTTCACCACTATGCCTGAAGACCTCGACTTTGTGGACGACATTGCCCTTCTGTCATCAACAATGAACCATTTTCAGTCCAAGACAACAAAACTGGAAGAAAACTCTGCAAAAGTTGGGATGAAGCTGAATGCCAAGAAGTGCAAAGTGATGAAGATAAACAGCAAGAGTGAATCCATGGAGTCTGATAGTCGGAAACAGTGAAGCCGAAGAGGTGGACAGCTTCACTTACCTTGGCGCCAGTGTAACCAAGGACGGTGGAGGTACTGCTGACATCAGGAGGCGGGTAGCATTAGCCGGCGCATCCTTCAGGAGGCTAGCCAACATTTGAAATATATATATATATATATATATATATATATATATATATATATATATATATATATATATATATATATATATATATATATATATATATAATGGCACATTTGAGAAATCAAAATCTGACAAATTACAGATTTAAGATTATCAGATTATCTTGAGGTGATAGCCTCGAGGCCAGAAAAAAGTTAGTATAACTTGCTAAGAAACAGAGCCCAAATGATCAGACAAATTCTTTATTCGGTCACAAATAAATCACGAGATACATTGCATAAATATATTAATCCCGCACTTTCAAAAGGAAGTTTGAGAACATTGCTTTATCCCGTCCGTCTGTCACACAATCTTTTTCCATAAACAGCCCTTAATTCAAAACAGTAACCAAATCACCCTTTTAAATAAAATTTGTGGTGCCCTTTATATGCGCAATAAAGTTATAGAGTTTTCATTTTCATCCTTGAAGCCAATTGTCGGCCGAAAAACGAGATTTTTCTTTAACAAAAATCATATTCCCAGAAATCCTCTTACATTCTGCCCAGTAGCCAAATCATTTTTGGAATATGATTGATGGTGTCATGCACATGCCAGTAAGGTTATGGAATTTTCATTTCATCGGGGAGTCCAACCGTAATCGAAGGATGACTTTTTCAACAAAAATATGTCCCCATTACCCTCTTGCATTTTACGTAGAAGCATATGCAATCATGTTTTGGAATATGATTGTTCATGTTCTGTTGATGTGCAATACGACTTTAGAAATTTTTATTTTCACTAAAAAATGATTTTAAAAATAAAGAGAAAAACGTGTTCCCAGAACTCCACTTACACTTTTTAAAAGTAGTAGCCAAATCTTATGGAGTATGATTGATGGTGTCCTGTAGATGTGCAATAAAGTTTTGAAATTTTCTTTTACACCCAGAATGCAAATTATGGAGGGTTGGGTTTTTTTAACACAAAACTCTCCAAAACCCCTTTTAAAACAGAATTTATGTTTCATTAAATTCTATCATTTCAGACTGGTTATCAATTTATTTTGTGAAATACCAACATAAGAGGTCCATGGGCCTGATGCTCATCTGACCATTTTATGTTTAATTTGATAAAAGTAAATTTATGTAAACTACAAAATAACTGTGGTTTCATTGCCAGTTTCCTTGGTACAAAGAACATTTTCGTGCGGGTATTACTGTCTTATGACAACAGCTAGTTACTGGTATATTGTATAATACAATACGAAAGGCTTGGATACAAGTTCTTACAACTTAGTGAAGATACACGTAATGATTACAGTATAATTGCCAAACATATAAATTACTCGTCGCAAGACATGTATACATGTTTTAGAGATATAAACATAAAAGTGGTATATAATATAGATTAAAAGGCGTGTTGAGATTTAAAATCTAGCTGAGTCTCGAATGCAGTGTTGCACCAGGGATAGGGTTATCCTAATCAGTAATCGTAATCAGCTGTAATCGATTACAGTTTACTGTGTGTAATCAAGAGTAATCATGAATAATAATTTTTTTCTGATTACAAGTAATTGTAATTTAATGAATTACTCTAGAAAAAGTCAAGTATAATCATGATTACTTTTTGATTACTTTTATGATAACAATAGCTACAAAAGGCCCAGGGGCCACATCGACATCGCTCACCTGAGAACTTTGGTTAGGAAAAAGCAGAAATCAGTTCAGTCTTGAAAAGTTGAAATATAAAAGTAGTTGGGGGTGGGGGGTTATGATTTGAACTTTCTTGATTCTACACTTCTTAAGGATGTTTTTGAATTAATATGACACAAAGTGGTTGTTGCTGGTTTTTCCTATGCATTCCTTTGTAAAACTTTGATCCCCCCATTGTGGCCCCACCCTACCCCCAGGGGTCATTAGAATCTATACTACCTGAGGCTCTTCCATTTAAATATGACTAATCGTGGCTTTGCAGTTCTTGAGAAGAAGATTTTTTAAGATTTTTTCCTATGTATTCCTACTCTTTTAAAACTTTGATCGCCCATTGTGGCCCCACCCTATCCCCGGGGGTCATGATTTGAACAAACTTGAATCAACACTACCTGTGGATGCTTGCATATAAATATGACCAATCATGGCTTTCCTGTTCTTGAGAAGAAGATTTTTAATTTTTTCCCCCTATGTGTTCCTATGTAAAACTTTGATCGCCCATTGTGGTCCCACCCTACCCCAGAGGGTCATGATTTGAAGAAACTTGAATCTACACTACCTGGGGATGCTTGCGTACAGATATGACCAATCATGGCTTTGCTGTTCTTGAGAAGAAGATTTTTAAAGATTTTTTCATATATATTCCTATGTAAAACTTTGATCGCCCATTGTGACCCCACCCTACATCCGGGGGTCATGATTTGATCAAATTTAAATCTACCTCAGAATGATTCCACATAAGTTTCATATTTTCAAGCACAGCGGTTCTTGTGAAGAAGATTTTTAGCTCACCTGAGCCGAAGGCTCAAGTGAGCTTTTCTGATCACTTTTTGTCCGTCTGTCTGTCTGTAAACTTTTAACATTTTCGACTTCTTCTCAAGAACCACTGGGCCAATTTCAACCAAACTTGCCACAAACTATCCTTGGGTGAAGGGGATTCAAGTTTGTTCAAATGAAGGGCCACACCCTCTTTCAAGGGGAGATAATAAAGAATTAGTGAAAAATTAATAGCATCTTTTAAAAATCTTCTTCTCAAGAACCACAGGGCCAGGAAAGATGAAACTCATGTGGAAGTATCCTCAGGTAGTGTAAATTCAAGTTTGCTCAAATCATGACCCCCGGGGGTAGGGCGGGGCCACATTGGGGGATCAAAGTTTTACATAGAAATATATAGGAAAAATCTTTAAAAATCT